AACAACTGGACTCCGTAGTTCAGTTGGTTAGAGCTCGACAGCTGGACTCTGTAGCTCAGTTGGTTAGAGCTCAACAACTGGACTCTGTAGCTCAGTTGGTTAGAGCTCAACAACTGGACTCTGTAGCTCAGTTAGTTAGAGCTCAACAACTGGACTCTGAAGCTCAGTTGGTTAGAGCTCAACAACTGGACTCTGTAGCTCAATTGGTTGGAGCCCAACAACTGGACTATGTAGCTCAGTTGGTTATAGCTCAACAACTGGACTCTGTAGCTCAGTTGGTTATAGCTCAACAATTGGACTCTGTAGCTCAGTTAGTTAGAGCTCGACAACTGGACTCTGTAGCTCAGTTGGTTAGAGCTCGACAACTGGACTCTGTAGCTCAGTTGGTTAGAGCTCAACAACTGGACTCTGTAGCTCAGTTGGTTAGAGCTCAACAACAGGACTCTGTAGCTCAGTTGGTTAGAGCTCAACAACTGGACTCTGTAGCTCAGTTGGTTAGAGCTCAACAACTGGACTCTGTAGCTCAGCTGGTTAGAGCTCAACAACTGGACTCCGAAGCTTAGTTGGTTAGAGCTCAACAACTGGACTCTGTAGCTCAGTTGGTTAGAGCTCAACAACTGGACTCTGTAGCTCAGTTAGAGCTCAACAACTGGACTCTGAAGCTTAGTTGGTTAGAGCTCAACAACTGGACTCTGTAGTTCAGTTGGTTGCAGCCCAACAACTGGACTATGTAGCTCAGTTGGTTAGAGCTCAACAACTGGACTCTGTAGCTCAGTTGGTTAGAGCTCAACAACTGGACTCTGAAGCTTAGTTGGTTAGAGCTCAACAACTGGACTCTGTAGCTCAATTGGTTGGAGCCCAACAACTGGACTATGTAGCTCAGTTGGTTATAGCTCAACAACTGGACTCTGTAGCTCAGTTGGTTAGAGCTCAACAATTGGACTCTGTAGCTCAGTTAGTTAGAGCTCAACAACTGGACTATGTAGCTCAGTTGGTTAGAGCTTGACAACTGGCCTCTGTAGTCAGTTAGTTAGAGCTCAACAACTGGACTCTGAAGCTTAGTTGGTTAGAGCTCAACAACTGGACTCTGTAGCTCAATTGGTTGGAGCCCAACAACTGGACTATGTAGCTCAGTTGGTTATAGCTCAACAACTGGACTCTGTAGCTCAGTTGGTTATAGCTCAACAACTGGACTCTGTAGCTCAGTTAGTTAGAGCTCAACAACTGGACTCTGTAGCTCAGTTGGTTAGAGCTCGACAACTGGACTCTGTAGCTCAGTTGGTTAGAGCTCAACAACTGGACTCTGTAGCTCAGTTGGTTAGAGCTCAACAACAGGACTCTGTAGCTCATTTGGTTAGAGCTCAACAACTGGACTCTGTAGCTCAGTTGGTTAGAGCTCAACAACAGGACTCTGTAGCTCAGTTGGTTACAGCTCGACAACTGGACTCTGTAGCTCAGTTGGTTAGAGCTGAACAACTGGACTCTGTAGCTCAGTTGGTTAGAGCTCAACAACTGGACTCTGTAGCTCAGTTGGTTAGAGCTGAACAACTCGACTCTGTAGTTCAGTTGGTTAGAGCTCGACAGCTGGACTCTGTAGCTCAGTTGGTTAGAGCTCAACAACTGGACTCTGTAGCTCAGTTGGTTAGAGCTCAACAACAGGACTCTGTAGCTCAGTGGGTTAGAGCTCAACAACAGGACTCTGTAGCTCAGTTGGTTAGAGCTGAACAACTGGACTCCGTAGTTCAGTTGGTTAGAGCTCGACAGCTGGACTCTGTAGCTCAGTTGGTTAGAGCTCAACAACTGGACTATGTAGCTCAGTTGGTTAGAGCTCAACAACTGGACTCTGTAGCTCAGTTAGTTAGAGCTCAACAACTGGACTCTGAAGCTTAGTTGGTTAGAGCTCAACAACTGGACTCTGTAGCTCAGTTGGTTGGAGCCCAACAACTGGACTATGTAGCTCAGTTGGTTATAGCTCAACAACTGGACTCTGTAGCTCAGTTGGTTAGAGCTCGACAACTGGACTCTGTAGCTCAGTTGGTTAGAGCTCGACAACTGTCCTCTGTAGCTCAGTTGGTTAGAGCTCGACAACTGTCCTCTGTAGCTCAGTTGGTTAGAGCTTGACAACTGGCCTCTGTAGCTCAGTTGGTTAGAGCTCGACAACTGTCCTCTGTAGCTCAGTTGGTTAGACCGCTGCACCAGAATCGCAGGTTCAATTCCTGCCTGAGAGCCTATAGTTGCATTTCGCAACTGCTCCTGGTTAAATGTATAAAATTTAACAATTATGATTTTTTCTGTGTTGGTATAAAGTACTCAGGTGAATATGATGCTTGTGATGTTACAATGGGCTACTATTCCAAAGGTCGTAGGTTCGATTCCCACCGTCGACAGGCATATTTTTCAAGCTTGCCAGGTGTGGATATACACTCAGAGTAACATCACAAACATCATTGTATCGAGTGAGAATCCTGATATTTATCGAAACTATTGATTTGTTTTTGGAAAGCTTGTAGTTTTTCAATAATTAATCAATTTCTCTATCCCAACAGGGCTGTATTCAAAAATTAGCAGACTATATTGAAGATCATCTACTTATCTTGGGTTCTGTTGGCCTGGGAGTTTCAATATTGCAAGTAAGTATGAAATTATATTGCTTTGTCTTGATCTCCGGTTGTCTCCATGGGCTGGTTGTTCGAAGGCTCGAAGCTGCGTGGATTAGCGCCCTCAGCTAAAATTTAACCTGCTGTTTTAGGCCGCGTTTAAACTACAACGCTACAACCAACATTCCGTTAAAAATTTATACTACTTTCTAGTATTGAGACTATATTGTATTTACACTATAACGGAGTGGTTTGACGTAGCGTACTAACTACAGATCACTACATTTGCCACTCTGAATACAAATCAATTTCGTTAAAAATTCACTACGTTTCTTAGTATTGTGTTTATACTATAACGAAGTGGTTTAATTGCCGTTGCGTATTAACTACGGACCACTACGTTTCTTAGTATTGTGTTTATACTATAACGAAGTGGTTTAATTGCCGTTGCGTATTAACTACGGATCACTACGTTTCTTAGTATTGTGTTTATACTATAACGAAGTGGTTTAATTGCCGTTGCGTATTAACTACGGACCACTACGTTTCTTAGTATTGTGTTTATACTATAACGAAGTGGTTTAATTGCCGTTGCGTATTAACTACGGACCACTCCGACACTCCGGATGCAAATCACTACGCTACGGTAATCCCGTATAGCGTCATAGTGTAAACGCGGCCTTAGTTTCTGTATTTCAGAAAAACTTCAGAAAATAAAACTTCCGTTGATCCAGACAAGCATCCTGGAAAAATATTTCCATGTTCACAAACAAGATGTTGAGACGATTGCTTTGAAGATTTTGTTAACCCCGGATTAAGCTACTGTATCTGACTTTTGAACAACCCGCCCCAGATGATTACTCCGGTGTCGCAGTAACACTGACTGAAGCAATAAAGCTAACTAAATCCCCGTTTACACTACGCTCAATTTTTGGTACGGCACGGATAAAATTGGTACCCGTACCACTTTTTTCGTTCTTGGACTACCTATTTAGCTAAGCCCCGTTTACACTACACTCAATTTTTGGTACCGTACCATTTTTTGGTTCTTGGACTACCTATTTAGGTAGTCCAAGAACCAAAAAAGTGGTATACGGGTACCAATTTTATCCGTGCCGTACCAAAAATTGACCGTAGTGTAAACGGGGCTTAAATCATCGAGTAGTAATTTTAACTATAAACGTTTCTTTTTTTCACAGCTTCTTGGGCTAATCGTGACAGCTTTGCTTATCCATCTGGTAGAAGAATACTAAGACATAACCAAGAATAACTTTAAATGAAGTGTTTGATATTTTTTAGCAAGGACGAATTTTTATAGACTTCGTTTGCATTGTGGACAGTATTACATAGAATATAGACGTTGAGGCAGTCGAATCTCCCACAGGCACTGAAGTGGAAGAGCAAAGTGTCTTGATAAGTGAGGCGGCCACCGTCACTATACATCACTTAAATGCCCGTTTACACTTGTAATGTTTGCCGTGATTTTAGGTGCAATTTTCTCTGGGAAGTGGATAAGTTATGAATGTTGAGAAGAGGGTACATTGTCATACAGTGCAGTATAACTAATCTTCTAATCGGAAGAACAAAATCGCGCTAGAAATTGCGGTAAAAAGTTGCAAGGATAAACTGGCCTTAAGACGTCACTGGCTGTTTTTGTCTCCTTTAACTGAAATTAAAGAAAAGAACATGCGCAAACCCACTCATCAGCCAGTGTGTGCTGTACACGGTCTGTATCGAAGGTCGTGGCAAAATGTTGCGCCGTTGTCCGTGTTAGAGAGGGTTTCGTATTGTAAAGGTTTATTTCAGTGCGGACACGTCGCGAAATACTGCTGGCGCGAATTTTGGTTGGCAACATATGACCACTTTTCACTAGCTTGATAACCTGTTCGCAGGCTAACTTTTCACTTTTGGCTGCAAACCTTACTTCTTTAAACTTTTTCAGATTTCATGCAATATTTAGCTTCATTTCTTGCATACCAATGCTTTCATGAAGATTGAAAAACTATTGTTGCAACTTTGTTACACAGTTATTGAGCTATCATTCAATGACAGTTGTCCACCGCCCTGGCCCACCTAGCGTCCGCTCTGACCCACCTAGCGTCCGCCCTGACCTATCTAGCGTTCGCACTGGTAATAGACAGGTGTTAGAGATGTATGTCTGTATTAGGGGCTGTTCATATGAAGCCGGGCTGGCCCGATTAACTGGAATGATTCGTTTAATAAAGCTCTTATCACGGCTTTGATAATTATCTAAAATGACGTTTCAAAGTTGAATTAGCTTCGTTTGATTCCAGTAACAGTATAAAGATCATTCAAACGATTTTTATTGTCAGGAAGAAGTTCGTGACACGATTAATCCCGATTAGCCGGATGGCCTGGTTCATATGAACAACCCTTAGAGATGTCAGATGCGTCTGTAAGCAGAGGTCTGTAAGGAGAGATTCGACTGTGATAATATTGTAAGAAATGATAAAAATCTCCTGCAAATGTAGGCACCAGCACAGCCTGTTTTCCGCTAGTAGGTGACTTTGTTCGCGCGAAGCGACTTTTTCCTTTGCACTGACAAAGGTTTTAAAAACTGGGTTCGGCAAAAATTGCCCTAGCGGAAAAGGGTTATATGGCTTAGACGCAGGATACGCCCGAATAAAACCACTTTCGCTTGCAGTCATATAATGTGATAGAGTTATTGAAATGTAGCAAATGAAATGTGAAGTTGTATTCAGTTTGTAATTATATTTCAGTTCTTGTTGTATTTGTTGCTTATACAGTTAGTAATGTTGCTGTTGCAATGCGTCATTCCAGCTATAGACGAAATTTTGATCTAGACAAGAAGAGCGAAAACCATTACCATAGCTGGAAAGAGCATTTTAAAATGAGTAAAATTGCAAAGTTTGGTTGCGAACTGTTGCAAATTACGTGCGGGAAAAATAACCATGGGGCATAGACTTTAGAAACTAATGAAAGAAAAAGCTCCACCCATAGTGGCAAGGAGAACAAGCAAAAAATCCCTTCTAGAACAACACATCAATTAAATATACGTGGAATATAATATTTAAAATAGAACAAGACGCCTGCTCATGCGTTGACACTTCCCTCAAAATAATGACACGCGTGTATGATGCCTGGAATATCCAATATGAGAGCAGTCACATCAGCAATATTGCTCGTTCTGAGCAGTTGAGGGGAAAATTTAGCTATTGCTACCATTAAGCAATACAATTTAGAATGGAACCGGAGATATATATGCCACAGCTAAATAATCGCGTTGGCGTACGTACAAGACGGGTGCAAGGGGGCAAATTTATCAGAAAATGGGTTAATTCAGGTAATTTCATTACAATCCTCCATAAAATTCGGGCAAACTTTCGACGTCCTCTCCCCATCAGCCCCTTACGCCTATGATAATCGACGCGATATATAAAGTCAAGAAACGATGGCGATGTACTGTACCCGATGCCGATATATAAAATCAGTCGATACTCAACAGACGCAATATTCGATATGGAAGACACTGCGTATATATATATTTATTATTGCAACGCTTTCAGTCTGGGGAGGAAACACAATGACAATACAGTATAAACAATATAAACATTGTCGCCAATTTAGTTTGTATAATAAAACCACAGCCAGTAAGGCCCCACCCCATGGGGCACAATGAAATATCTAAGGCCCCACCTATGGCCCATGTTTCCCCCCGGGGGGGGGGGGGGTGTTCCGATGACAAGTGCAAAATACAAATATTTCCAAAATTTGTGAACTTCACAGGGCTATATTTTCTTCATTTTACAACATTTAGCAACCAATCTTTGCAATTTTACTCATTCTAGCCCCGTTTACACTACGCTCAATTTTTGGTACGGCACGGATAAAATTGGTACCCGTACCACTTTTTTGGTTCTTGGACTACGTATATTTTGAGCCCCGTTTACACTAAGCTCGATTTTTGGTACCGTACCACTTTTTTGGTTCTTGGACTACCTAAATAGGTAGTCCAAGAACCAAAAAAGTGGTACGGGTACCAATTTTATCCGTGCCGTACCAAAAATTGAGCGTAGTGTAAACGGGGCTTCTAATGCCCATTTTCCACTCCGTTATTTCGCCGCCGCTGGCGAAAAATTTTGACAAAGAAATCATTTTTAGTGCAAAGTTGACGAAGTCAAGTTTGTACTATTGTGATGGGGTGCAAGGCATTACGTCATTACGTGACTCAACAATGGTCGATCGATCGATCGATGGATGTATAGTGTAAACAATTCAATCCGGGGGGAGCGCTTGCAAATTATTTCCGTAGCTTTGCAACGTTCGGCCAGCATATATATTAAAAATTTTTCAAATAGGATTTTATATTTTTATTCATAACAACAGATGTTTTTCTGATTTACATTATCTAGCATTTAGAGAAACAATCATAAAATAAATATCAATTTTAAGATATGAATGGCTAATATGTGTAGGTACTTTCTCGCCCTCCGTGCAACAAAATCAATTGAAACAACACACGTGCTCTACACTGCGCCAATTTTAATATGGCGGTGTCAGAGGAGTCGCAGTACGATCTCCGTGTCGTGTATATAGAACGGGTCGATCAAAGTCAAAGATGCAGTCAATTTTAACCTTATTTTTGTGCTTATTTATCGAACAAAGAAACGGAGTGATACAGAATATAAAAAAGCGCCTGTGGTCATGATCGTTTTGATATAAGTTGGCTTACACATTTTATTAAAAATAACTCAATACCGTATACTTTCGGACAGGGTCGTCCGAAAAAATTTTTCCCGAAACAATTTATTTTTCGCGACCTTTCCCC